ATCTTAAATTAACCCATTTCTATAAATCTATACCTTGCCATGTGGCTGGTGTCTTACCGGCATCTTTATATGTTGCTTGTCCTGGTGGTGGCTGCAGTGTCTCTCCTTCCTTCTTCCTGTTCCCCCAATTCTCCTCTCTCCTTGTCCCGCCTATACTTCCTGTCTGGTCACTGGCCATCAGTGTTTTATTTATATAGAACGGTATCCACAGCATCTATGTGTGTTAATAGGCATTTCTCTTGCAAGGTGATATCCCATTCAAAGTTTACAGCAATGACAGAGGCAACCCTCTTATTCAGTTTCCCTCTAAAGTGACTTGGTGATTGCATTATAATGTCTATGTCATGGATAAGTGTGGAAAGCACCAGAATTGTATGACAATACTGTCAAAAAAGGATATATTTACAATGTTGTCAGTATTGTGCTTTCTTTTGTATACATGTATGGGATATTTCAGAATGCAGTGACCTATGATGACGTACATGTCAACTTCACTTGGGAAGAGTGGATTTTGCTGGATCCTTCTCAGAAGAATCTCTACAAAGATGTGATGCTGGAGACCTACAGGAACCTCAGTATTATAGGTAAGACAGAATTTTCCTTCATGTTTTAAAATAAGGAGACAAATGCTCACTGGAAATTGATGCTCCTCTATAATTTGATTGAGAAAGAAGAATGAGGTGAATAAATCAAGCATGGTTCTAAGATTCACTGCAGATAACTTAAATTTGGTACAGTTTTTAATAATATAATTTTCTGTTACTATATTTTAGGGTACAGTTCAGAAGACCATAATATTGAAGAACATTGTCAAAATTCTAGAAGACATGAACGGTAATTTTCTTGCACAAGCTGACATAAAAGTGCCTCCGAAAATATTGTAATGTATCTTAGAAGTGTTAAAGAAAAACATCATCATAAATAAGCACAGATTAAAGTTCATTGATGATTCTACATTCTCACAAAACCATAGAATTCAATTTCAGGTTTGTGAATTGCATTTACAAGGCATTCTCTTAAGAAAGAAGACAAGGAAACAATTCCTTAATAGATATCAACACTGGAATCATAGCACCTTCAGAGCTATGTTGTAGAATTGTCAATCCATTTATTTCATCTAACTCATATTACAAAATGCATATGCATTGAAGAGGTGATAAGTATATCTTCAAAGCATTCTAGTAAGCACAGAGATCATAGTGAAGCTAGTATTGTTCATATACAATTCTTGACTATGATAAGTTTAGTGAGAGGGGCAGTTAAATTCAAAAGTCAAGGGGTATTATCATGAAGAAACCTTCATCTTTATACCACAAATCTATGAGGACATAAAGTCAAACAGAATTCAATGTGGAAATCTTTTATTTGTTATTCTTCCTTTACTAGGCATATCATATGTCAATCTACATATAAGCCATATGAGCATACAGATACAGAAAGAGATAGAATCTCTCTCTCTCCCAGAACAATTAGAAGATATGTAGCAGAACCCACATTGAATATACTTGTTGAATTGGTTCAAGTATACAGGTAATTCGTTTTCTAGCTTCATTATTAATACATAAACAAATTTTCACTTCAGAAAAGCCCTGAGTGCTAGGACTGTATAAATACAACATGTGTGTAAACACATTAATACAATCTTAAGATCTGACAACTCTTCAAAATTGGACCAAATTGTAAAATTAATTCATATAGATATAAAGAGTCAACAGTGTATTAAATGTGGTTAAATTTTTACATGTGCCAATTAACCTTGCAGGCATGAAAGAAGCCAAACTGGAGACAAACCTTCTGTATATCCTCAATATGGTAAAGCCTTTACATATCATAGTCATCTTCAAATGCATGAGAGAAAGCATACTGCAGAAAAACCCTATGAATGTAATCACTGTGGTAAAGCCTTTGCATATCATAGTAATTTTCAAATGCATGAAAGAACACATACTGGAGAGAAACCTTATGAATGTAACCAGTGTGGTAAAGCTTTTGCACAGTACAGTCATCTTCAAAAGCATAAAAGAACACACACTGGAGAGAAGCCCTATGAATGCAATCAATGTGGTAAAGCCTATGCACAGCACATTCATCTTCAAATGCATGAAAGAACACATACTGGAGAGAAACCCTATGAGTGTAACCAGTGTGGTAAAGCCTTTGCACAGCACAGTCATCTTCAGAAGCATGCAAGAACACATACTGGAGATAAACCCTATGAATGCAATCATTGTGGTAAAGCCTATGCACATTACAATACTCTTCAAATTCATGAAAGAACACATACTGGAAAGAAACCCTATGAATGTAATCAGTGTGGTAAAGCCTTTACACAACACAGTCATCTTCAAATGCATAAAAGAACACATACTGGAGAGAAACCCCATGAATGTAACCAGTGTGGTAAAGCATTTGCACAGCACAGTCATCTTCAAAGGCATGAAAGAACCCATACTGGAGAGAAACCCTATGAATGTAACCAGTGTGGTAAAGCCTATGCACAGCACAGTCATCTTCAAATGCATAAAAGAACACATACTGGAGAGAAACCCTATGAATGTATTCAGTGTGGTAAAGTCTATGCACACCACAGTTCTCTTCAAGTTCATCAAAGAACACATACTGGAGAGAAACCCTATGAATGTTATCATTGTGGTAAAGCCTTTACACAACACAGTCATCTTCAAAAGCATAAAAGAACACATACTGGAGAGAAACTCTATGAATGTAAGCAATGTTGTTAAGCCCTTGAATGTGTCAGTAATCTTCAAAATCATGAGAAAAAAATATACTGTAGTGGAACTCTATAAATGTAGTCATTGTGGTAAAGTTTTTACTTTACATAGGAGTAAAACTTTTATGTTCAATCACTCTTTTAAAGTCTTTGCATATTATAGTAGTCTTTGAGTACCTGATAATTATATTGAGGACTTTATTGAAATGTTTTTGACAAGATCCTAACCAACACACTTACAATCAGTTGCAGAACAGTACTGATTCTGTAAAAATAAATTGACAGTGCCAACAATCTGTTCAAGCATTGTGATGTCTGTTTTGGTGTTGTTTGCACTAGGTAACTCATGGAAATAATGAATTTGAAGCCCTATGTGTAGGGTAAAAGTTCCAGCCAAAAAAACCACACCCTGAAACTAGAGCCAATGAAATATACTTTGTCCCTGAATCCAGAGCCAGTGAAAAAAACACGCTGGCCATGGAACCAGAGCCAAAATTTTGAGAAGGGCCAAGTGAAAGAAACACATTTTGGCCCTAATGTGGTGATAATCTAATTGTACTGAATTATTATTTTGATTGTATGTTAATAAATAAAGTTGTCTGGGAGTCAGAGCTATTAGAGCCATAGCAAGAGTGTGGCGGTGGTGGCACACGCCTTTAATCCCATAGATATCTGTGTGTTCAGGGTCAGAGCTATTAG